GGAAAACAGCAACATGACTGTTTTCTTTTTTGCACTTTTATTTTGAAATTTAAAAAAAAGAAAGAACATGAATTTACTGTGCAAAAGTCTTGAGTTGTCTTTCAYGTTTCCTTCCCAGGAGTCAGACTTTGTTGGAATCTTTTAAAATTGTCTTTCCAAGCTTTCTAATATGAGTTTCAGGTACTGCTCCTTTTCTCTACATCATCTTGAAAAATATAGCGCGTTCATACACTTCGGTGTGTGTCGAGAACATGGAACAAACACAAAAATAAGACTTGAATGTTAATGTAAGAACCAAAGCCATACAAATACCCTGTGGCTTATCTAAGCCTCAGCCATTTATTATCATGCGTTCGGCTCCAGGCGGGACGTTTCAGCTGCTTATAACGCTTTCTTCCAGTTCTGGCCACTCCCTAGAKGCAAGCTGTAATGTCAATTGGAGGTTTTCTCTACCATGTGACCAGAAACCTTTAGACAACAATCCTGCGTTCTGATGAGAAATAATTATGTGTTGTGAATGAATTTAAGGTGTGTGTTAACTAAACATATCACAAGAGTACCCTCTGCTTTAGATAAACCTGACAAAAGCCACTCAAAACTGACTGTACGTGACTAAATCACATCAAAATAGATTATTTTGCGAAATACGTTATCAGAACAAACCCTAGTTCTCCTAGGAATAAAGCAGGAGCTTCCAGYAACTCCACAACAAAACCAGCACCGAGTTCGAATCATCTAAAATCYCTATTTTCAAATATTATAATTATATCCGACATTCACTGATCGAATTTATATTATTGTGACACCCACTGCTGCCCTGACTTAGCATCACGTTTAATTAAAACTTACGTCTTTGGTTTGTGTTTTCCCTCTCTTTCATCACGCCTGCACTTGAACTCTCTGTTCTGTTAAAGCTCGCGTCTCCAGCTCTCAGCGCCGTTCTTTCATTTTTTGCTTCATTTTTAACACTCCTGGATTTTGTCAGTCACATTCTTTCGTTCTCTCTCTCCTTTTTTTTTAAATTTTATTTTATTTCTGGGCCCCAGAGGAAATCGATAAGAAGCTCACAGCATACAGGAGAGGAAGCAAGTTCTGGAGGATGCTTATTTTTTGTCAGGTGAGGAAAAGAAGATATGTTGTTTCGTAGATGAACAAAGTAATCCAAGGGTGTAAGTTTAGGTCTTCCATTGGGGTGGTTATGCTCTAAAAGCCTGCATGTTATTTTTAGCAATTAGGCTAAAAACAGAGAAATATGACATTGTAATTCTTTTAATCAGGTCAAAGTTACCTAAAGACAACAAGGGAGTTGCATCWGTCTACTTAACTAGTTAATTTCTATTGTTTGAGCAAACAATGTCATTTTATTGGGGGTTATTTTGACTGGATCAAATCATTGTGGGGGTCATAACCCCCTTAACCCCCCCGCAAATTACGCCTCTGAAGTAATCCTCTGCACCGCTCCACATGTGTTGTCTTTGTTGGGTTTGTTTAACAGGGCGGACCTGGTCATTTGTATTTACTGAAGAATAAAGTGGCGACTTTTGCTAAAGTGGAAAAGGAGGAAGACATGAGCCAGTAAGCTGCTCTTACTTCTGCTTCTGTTTCTGCTTCCTGATGATGATTAATGATCCGTTTACTTTTTTTATGTGTTTTAATGCGAAAACATGTGAAAACGTTTGATATGAAAATGTAGCTGCAAGCAAACAAAATACTTTCTTACCACCTTGACTGTTTTAACTTTCTTAATATATTATAATATAAACTTCTCAGGAAACAGCATCTTCATAGTATATATTTGTCTTTGTTCAGATTCTGGAAGAGACTGAGTCGCTTTATGAGTAAAATCAATCCAGAACCAAACGTGATTCACATAATGGGATGCTACGTCCTGGGGAACCCTAATGGAGAAAAGGTATCCACATATTCTCAAACGCATTAAAACTGACTCGTCGATTTCACAAAAAAAAAAAAAAAAAAAAAAAAAAAATATTTGGTTAATGCTGCCACCAGTTCTGAGCGTACAACATAAGGGCCACAAAGCTGAATGAAGATATCAATAAGCGTCAGAAAAACTGCTCAAAACAGTGAGTTTTCTACAGAAGGTTACAGATTCTGTTAAAACACAGGATGATTGAGTGGAATAATGCACTGCAGGGTCCAAACTCTACCACTTATCTACTATATGATTAGGTTTTTATTAAAGTTTCCAGCCTCTAGACCAATACCTTTTTTTAAAATCTAAGTAAGTTTGCTGTATATTATATTTTGACAAACAGTTGCGTCTGTKTCTGCCATCAGCCCTAACAGAAATGCATCACAAAACAATTTTCCCCCACTAATCTGTGGGAAAAGTCTGTGGTGCCAATAAAAGTTGGGTCTTGCTTCGTTAAAGCATTACGTTACTGTAAATTATGATTTTCTGATTGGTGAACTGGTTTTCTCGCCAACATTTTCTTCTTTGCTGCCTTTTCAGGTTTGCTTTACTCACGTCTAGCTGCTCTCCCTGTCAGCATGCTATCCATCGAGCTGTTTCTTCCTCCACCTGTCTGACTGTTATCCACACCTGAGTAATGTTGCTGCGTTCAGTCGAGAACCACAGATGCCAAACGATGCTGCACCTCTATAAACTTGATGAGAACAAATATTAAGACCGTCAGAGACACAGAACAGAGGAAAAAACAAAAAAACAAACAAAGCACACAGATTCTGGCACTCGCGTCCACAGACCCCCACCAGAGGTGTTTGTCTGACCCTGGTTGTCTGTTCCTGTCATGTCTGCCAAACAGCGCTTTGTTATATAAAGTGCTTCTCTCTGGGGTTGATGGACAGACTGCAGAATAGAAACGAGCGAATTCTGCACCTCAGCAGACAGACAGACACCAGCACAAATGTTACGTTAAAATAAAAATAAAAAGCCAGCGTAACAGAACAAGTCATACATTTTCTGTTTTTCAAGGACTCGGCTCGATTTAAACGGCGTCTCGGTGTTTTGTTCCGGACTCAGTGGGACGACAACAGCAAGAGTTTGATGAGAATTGGGTTACATGTGGAGCTTTAGGCTCCAGATTAAAATGGAAGAAAAATACATTTTGTATACTTCACGTTAAGATGTTTGTATTCAAATAAATATATTTGCAGGAAGCAATATTCTGTGTTAAAAAATGGAACTTATTCAACATTTATTAAAATTAGGCAAATATCAAATGGATCAGGCTGCGAAGCACAATCAACACTGTTTATTGTGATAACTTTCTTTGTTATAAAAACAGTTGTTTGTTTTTTATTCATAAAACGTGGTCAAATAATTTGTTGAGGTTGAATTTCACCTGCTACAATTTTAAATCTTAGCTCTGTGTTGTTACAAAGTGGACATATCGGGCTTCATATTCTTCTTTTTCCACATTTAAACCCTTTGTTTGAGGTCTATATAAAGTGAAACTGCAATGCTTTAGTCTGAATTCCTCCTTGTTGTAACTCCAAGCCCCTCTTTCACCCCTTTTCTGTGGTGTGTCTCAAATCAACTCGTTTTGAGGCTGCATCTTTAAATCCAGTCAAGGCATTTCACAGCCCCGCCCCCTCCAATATTTGGAGCAGACCATTCTAATTTGATAGAGGGGTTTACGACTATAAGGTGACACAAAAACCTTTTATTTACAAATGAATTAAAAGATGTCAACAAGGGAAAACTTGTCCATCCAGCACCAGGAGAGACTAAATTAAACATTTCTGCACTCCTAGAGACTCCAAGGACACACACACGAAAAATGCATTTAACAGCTAAAAAAATTGATTTTGCTTGTGCCCCCTTTAAATCCACTTTAGTGTTTGCTACAGTTAATTAGTTGTATTGAATTAGGCTGACTCTAAACAATCAGTTAGATGTGCATCTAATGATTACTTCCTGCCTAGTGGTTCATGAGATATTTTGCTAACAGACAAACAAGGCTGACCACAACAGATAGTGTCAAAGTTCTAAACTAAGATCTTGTCTTATTGTAGTGTTTGTATTATATGGTGAAGATTACCTTCAGTTACTACCACACTAAATTTGAGATGAATATCTGTAAAATCGACTGAGTAATAATCAGTTTTTTTTCTTTTCAAGCATAAAGAAATCCTTTAATGTTTTGCTTTTGTTGGCAAAAGATCTCTGCATCTTCTAATGTCACGGCATCAACAGTGATTAACAGGACAAGCAGGAAACTACCCAACATGCACCTCGTTTATCTGGGATTAGTTATTAGCCTCCAGCTTGTTTCGTACTCCAGTCGAGCCGCTTCTCCTCCACTTCTTTAAACAACCTCCTCCCATCKAAGCATCTTCTTTTATCTCCTTTGAAAGCGCAGCGCAGCAAACACAAAAAGGTTGCTTCTCTTCTCCACCTCCAACTCAAGATCATAAATAATCAAAAACACGTTTGCTATTTGATTCTCCTGACATGGAGGTCATTTTCGAACAACAAAATGCAAGTTTGAACCCAGTTTGTCCAGAATCGCATTTCTTTTTCTCTCCACTGACGATGGATTAAAGAGTAAAGACGTCAGAGGAGTTTAACACATGTTGAGCCATAAAATCTACAAATCAGCTCCTTTAACATTCCCTGTCTTTGTGGTTTCCAGTGCAGATTTTGTCTCTCGGGCAGTAACACGCTGAACTCATTGTGTGTTGTTGTATCTGAAAACGGCTCCTCTGTTGTAAGCGTATCCAAGTGAAGGAGGATTAATTAATGTTTGCTTTCTTATCTCTTCCCAACAGCTGTTCCAGAAATTGAAGAATCTGATGAGGCCTTATTCTGTTGAGTTTGAGTCGCCGCTGGAGCTGTCTGCGCAAGGTGGGCCTCAGAAAACCCACCAAACACACTCAGACGAGCAGATCACAGGGACCCACACACATTTATACACACGCAACTTACATTAAGTGCTGAAAAATAAAGGAGAATTTTAAAAAATCAATAAAAAAATTACAATTGAATTTGTTTTGATTTCTTCATATTTTTCTTGCTTCAGTCCACACAATTCTCTTATGATCTTTGATGTGTTTTTTTAAATAAAAAAANCACACACACACACACACACACACACACACACACACACACACATTTTGATCAGATTACAGTGCTTAAAGTTTTCCGTCGCCAAGATAGATTTCCGTCACTTTGAACGTGGCCTGAACGGATTTCCGTCATCTGTAAGGGAGGGGGAAAAAAACTCCGGTTGTTTTCTGTTGCGGTCTTGTTAAAGCCGTCCAGCCTACCCCTAAACGCGCCACTACTTTCAACAAATGAAAGAAACTCCAGAGCGATTTGACCCAATCAGAGCAGAGCGGAGCAGGGCAAAGCAGGGTGGGTTAGTAAAGCAGGTGAGCAGTCTACATGAGCAGTGCAGCAGTCAGTCCTACGTGAGTGAAACCTCTCCTCCCTCATCTCTCTCCTTGGACCTTGTGCTCAGAGCATCGTTATCCAACAGAAATGTCTAACTTGGCGTGCGTGACCAAGCTCCTCATGCAAAGGCTTCATGTGACACGCAACATTCAGTTTGTTCATCCGTCATGCTTTTGCTCTCCTATCCTACAACATTTCACAAGTTATAAAGTGTTCTGCTGCATGCCATATTTTACTACAATAATGTAAGTGCCAAAAATAAACCCCTTCATCGCTGGCAAGGATGTGCACATTCTGCACAAGTAGCTACCAAAGTGCAAACCGAGCTGAGACCGCCTGGTGCACTGCGACGCGTGCACGCTGTGGGTCAGATTCACTGTTCACTACATTTGTTTGCCCCATACAAGCAAAGATGAATCTCTGTTTAACGTTTACCTCCTCATCCTCACCAGGAGAACAGCACCATGTTCTCCATGTGAGTGTGTTTCAAATGTTTTTGTCAATTTCATTTTTCAATGTTTGTTTATATTTAGAACAATACTGTGATAGAACTGCTCTGTGATAAATGGAATTCAATAAATATCACATATGTAGAATAAACATTATTAAATGATTGCATGAGCTTGAACAATTTAAATAACTGATTTTAAAAAGCAATTAAAAATAAATCTGTCTAACTAATAAAAAATGTATTTCCAATTTATTTTGTTCTGTGCAACAGACAGACATTCGCTATAATTTGTAAATAAATAATTAGTATGTGTCTGGTTAAATAAAGGTCAATACATAAATATGTCAATCCACCACTTCCAAACACCCGTGTATCAGTTTTTCATAACATTTACATACAACCTGACAAAACTGACAAGTTATTTTCATTATATCACCATTGTTTTGCACAGAGTTAGTTTATGTTCTGAAGGCTGCATGATGTCACGTCAGTTTGTTATGAGTGGACCTGTCATTAAATCAGGCAAATAAATGCCTCCGAAATTCACTGTTGGTGGTTTTCAGTATTTTACCTGTTTACTGGGTAAGGTTTTTAATGTACTTGGTTTTAAACATGCAGTTGAATCTCATCATTGTTTGGCACAATGCAACTCATTGCAAAGTTTTTAAAAAGGCTTGCTATAATTGGCCCAGGGGCGATTTGGTTTATGTGGTGCTGGCCCATGCAGGGACTGTCACTGGCAAACCATATCTGTGCCACCAAAGAGTCATCATTCTTTGTGCTATTTGGGCAAGTGTGATTTATATATATATATAAATGAGCCTAAGAGTGTCAATACCTTAACTGGCCTGGTTTTGGTTTGGTTGATGTGGTGCTGGCCCATGCAGGGACCTTCTCTCACAAACCCCATCTGGGCCATCACAGGGCCATCGTTCTTTGTGGTATCTGGGCCGAGTGTTTGAGTGGGCCAGAACTGGGCCAGACAAATTATCAGAATACTAACTGCTATGTATGGCCAAGACATGATATTGTGCACGGTATCAAATATTTTCCATCTCATTTCTCTTTTAAGGCAAAGAAATGATTGAGATGTTTTTCGATTTCCGCCTCTACCGCCTCTGGAAGACACGGCAACACTCCAAACTCTTGGACTACGAAGATTTTTTGTGACAGAGATATCTGAAGAATGAGCCCTCCGATGCCACGAGGGCGCTGTAAAAAAAAAACCCAAAACAAAACAAAAAACCATCAAAAAACGAACGCTCCTCGGGTGTTGTTCTCGGGGACGTCGTCGGCTCAACATAAACATATCCCTGCTTGGGCTGAAAGAGGAAGAAAAGCAGAGCGATGATGATGACGATGAGGAGATGCAACTGTGATCTTCCTCGTTTTCAAAGTGACCGTCAGAGATCAACAGAAATAGGCTAAAATCTGTACTCACACTGGAAAAACTGAGGAAAAGCCCTGACAGAGCGAAAGGAATTGTTTTGCCTTTTAAGTTCTCAACAACACTGGGAGTTTTAAAAAAATATATATAAATGTGTAAAATAACAACCAGTAGAATTTTAGTTACACCTTTGTTGCAAGGACGTTGTTTTTGGAGCCGACGAGCTTCCGATAAATTTCTGTATTTCATTYTGTCTCAGTGTGGTTCTGTGTTTTTGACCTGACCTCTCAGACAGTCTCAGCTTTCTGAGACATGCATATAGATAATTAACCCATAATGTGTGTATAGTTCACATGAATATATTAGCTTATTCCTGCAAATGGTACTCTATATAGGATCATTCTTTATTTTTTTGATGTGCATCATTGTGCAGTTTCATATGGGAATATTTTGAGATAACTCAGGTTTTAGCCATTAAGTAATGACTCTGTTTGTTCTATGATAATAATAATAATAATAATATAATATTCAATGCCATTGCTTTGGATGAATGTATCATCTCTGTAGAGATCTGTGTTTGAGGAACTGAATGTCCCCTCCCCACAAAAAAAGTGCTGAGTGTGTGTTTTCAAAAAAAATTTGTGCAATTGTGTGCATTTTCTCCTTTAAAGCAAAAAGAAAAATCGCCAGCATCCCCACACGTTTCTCTTCGTCATGTACATTCAAACAGCATGACAGTCGAGTGTGATTTATGATGTCAAGGGATATAACAGCCATCCAAGTGCTCCTACCACTGCAGTGAAGGAGTTACCCTAATGATCCCTCCTGTTCTACAGTCGAGGGTTCATGCCACTTAGTTGGGCTCTGCTGTCTACCTGCCAAACCAGCTTCTCTTAATGGCAGCCAAACGAGCTTCTGCCACCCTCTCACTCTGCTGGGCTGCCATCCGGTGTGAGGACCAGAGCTCTCTGAGTGGAGGAAAAAAAAGTTGTGAGCCGATATCTGCCTCTCCTGCCAGGTGTCAGCATGTTAGGGRAAAAAAAAGGACAGAAAGATGCACCAGATGTGTGCCTGAGACTTCTGTCCTAGTTAAGCAATCTGGACAGTTTTAATCTGATTAAAGATAGTCTAGCCCTCACACAGACTCACACACACACACATATACACACACAAGTTGAGGCTGAAACCAAAATGCATTCAAAAATTTAAAGGGATGGTTTTCTTTAAAATATATTTTTAAATCAGGTTGTGTGGAAAGGTTATTAGTGGTCAATATCTTACCTGCAGTAAACAGCTGGGAGGAATATCTCAATGTGCAGAATTAGGGAGAAATCCTCCTTAGAGTTAAACTAACAACTAGTCAGCGTGGGATAAATGATGCCAGAATAAGACCAGCTGCCCTGCAGGCTGGTTTCAGAAAGGGTTTTAAGCCCCACCCCTTCATGTAAAAAATAAATAATAAATCATCATTAGTAAAATTAACAAAATATACCTCAAATATTTTTTTCAGGGATTGATTTTTGTTGTTTTACACAGTTCTATTCTTGCTGTTGTACATTCAAAAAATTAATTTTTAACACTTTTGGCTGTAATTAGTTTAGCAGTGTCCTGATACCAGTACCAATACCATCATTTTTACAAGTACTTGTAAACATACATAGTGTTACAACAGTATATATCATACTATATATTTGATTTGATACAGTCAGAGGGACTGTAAGCCTATAAGGAAGGAGAGCCACCTTGTTCTAAATAAAACAGAGTTTTTAAAGTCATTGTGTAATGTTTAAGTTTTTACTCAGTAAGTACTCAGTATCTGTATTCAGTATTGGCAAGTACCCAATCTGAAGTACTCATACTCAAAACAATCTGGTAACGGGACACCCTTAATGCTTAAAATAAAGGTCGTATGGCACCATAAATGTCTGTCATGGCGCAGGCGGGGCTTAAACACCACATAGTGTGAAGTAGCTTTTCAATGACAGCTACCTACTGCAGGTAAGATAGTGACTGTTAATGACAACTCAACCTAATGCAACTTAAAAAAATTAACTATCCTTTTAAATCAGAAGCCCTCGTCACAGATGCTACTTTATGCAGATACCTGGTATTTGTTTTAATTCATCTTGAAGGGAAAATAGTGTCGGCTGTGAGAGTTTTTTAAACAATTTTTATTAAGCATTTGTGCCTCTCACATCCTGTGTCAGAGCAAAGATTTATCCTAAAAGTGTTTGTTATTCATTTGATGAACAGATGAAGAAAAATCTGACATGACTATGTTAGCGTCACACACCCTAAAACCAATCAGAAAACTGCAAATGTTACACTAGAGTTGGCAGATTTGGATGCAGAAAGTTTATATTTTGCACGAGGAAAGCTTTTGAAGCGATGTTAAGTGGTTTTTGGTGTCAAGTGTTCCTAGCTTTGATAACACATACACTCACACCAGACAATGATTCTCTACATCTAAAATTAAAGTTCATTTGAACATTTGTGTGGATACATTAAAACTTTACCATTATATGCTGAATCATTTTGTGTCGTCAGTCTCAGTGGACTGCTCTCTGTCCAGAAGAAGTGTGTTTATTTTTTTTTCTTTTAATGTATTTATTCCTCGTTTAAATTGTGTTTTCTCTCTGATGTTGCAGTCCTGGCCTGCAGTTCTCTCTCTCTCTCTCTCTCTCTCTCTCTCTCTGAGTCACGCAGTTTGTTTCCATCACGGATTTAAAATTCAGCAGTTACACAACCTATCATTCCACAGAGCCATTTTTAATTCCAGCGTCTGCATTAAGCTGCCAAATTCTGCAAGACATCGCCCTAAACAGCTGCTGGGTTTKAATGGGATTATTTTCCAGAGCAGGTATCATTTTACACGTCAGAAACAGCCACGGGGTGATTTCAGTTTAAAAGGTGCCACAGAATAAGAATAATAATAACAATAAAAACATTTATTTTTTTTAAAGCAGGTTAATTTAAAAAAAAATGGAATATTTTGACTGAACCGACCATCACGTGATGAGCAGCAGACTCGGGAGTTTCAGAGAGCTTTTTATTGTTTCCATCATCAGCACTGAAGAAAACCAACAATCTAACATCATTTTACTGGAAATCTAATTAAAGATACTAATGTGTTCGTCTTTGTCATTCGCCTTTTCCTTTTGTTGTGTTTGGAGGATAAAACAAGAAACATGTTAATGTCCATCTGTAATAATATGTGATAACTTAGGCAACATTTAGTGAAACGTGCATAAAATAAGAACTGGATGTTCATAACAGTCAGCTTTGTGAGTCAGCCAGATTCAAAATGGCTGCCATGGCCTGCTAATCTTGAAATACACAAAAATGACTGTTAGTCAATTTAACAGATGTTGACTCAAAATTTTGTTGACTTGTAGCTGTAACTGATCCCCCAATGTCTACTTTGATTGCTTACAAAATGCACAAGATCTTTGTTTGAAAGATAAACCTTTGTTGACACAAAGCTGTAACTCTTTTAATTTCTCTACTGTCCTAAAATTTGATGTGTTCATAACTGAGGCGTTCATAATAAAAAGTCTAAGCAAAACAACAGAACATATTTTCACTTTCAAGTTTTGACCAAAATGATGATCTCAGCATAAGATGATTTTMGTCTCACAGTCTGTCATGAAAGGCAGTGAGAAGAAATCAATTCTGAAACTGCAGAGTTTTACTGTAATGACCTAAAAGTTGGAAACGAGAGAGTTAAAAAGAAAAAAAAAGCAAGATGTACAAGTCTAAACTTGCATCTTTATAGAATGCTGATAAGCACATTTCTTTGCTTGTTTGTGAACATTTTTTTTGTTTTCCTCTTTTCTTCTCGTCAGCTGGAAAACAATTAACTGAGTAAGATGAGTGAGTAAGGCCTCTGGTTCTGACACAATCAGCATTTCTCCTGTGCTGATGTGGAGCTTTGCTTCCTTATGTGTCCCCAGTGTGTGTGTGTGTGTGTGTGTGTGTGTGTGTGTGTGTGTGTGTGTGTGTGGTGGGGGGGAGGGTGTAACATACAGTGCAGTTTGAGACCTGAACTGCATTTGAGTGCACCTTTTATTGGTGTCCCTCTTCAACCCTGCTCTCTATATGTTTGTGTTCTGGTGTGTTGTGATTTATGAAGAAACTTAACTTTAAATTGATAAAACCTCAAAAATAAAAATAATTAAATGCTGTCATTTCAGTTTTTATAACCCATAAATCTGTTGAGATTGATTGAGAACTACGATGTTCACTACAACGTTGCAAATCCGGCCACACAAAGCTTTTGGACAAACACTAATCATCTTACGTTGAGAAACGGTTTTATTTGCTGAAAATAACATTTTGCACAATCTCACATGAGATGATGAGCTGATGGTAATGACTCTCAGCTACTACCACATTAGATTTTAGGTCAATATCTGCAAAATTCACTGCATTATATCAGTTTTTGTGTTAATATTACCTCTAATTATTTTAAAAGTAAATCTAGAGAATAAGAAAAAGAAAGAAGAAAAAGGAAAAGAAGCGATTAGAAGACATGTGAGATAGACAAGAAAACAGACCCACACAAAGATTTTAGGTCAATATCTGCAAAATTCACTACATTATATCCATTTTTGTGTATTACCTCTTAAACTGGGTTGAGTCTAAATGATAATCAGTTGTAGATTTGCATCCAATGATTAGTTTATGAAAATTTGATTAAAATCCATCCCCAGTGTTTTATGATATTTTGCTAACAGACAAAAAGTGTTTACTCTAACATTTAAAGATCTCACTAAATGAGTTTGGCTGTGTCGGCCATCTTGAATCAGGTTTACAGTCAAAGATTACTTTTTTAAGTGTTGTTAAAATTTGTCCAGTGGTTCAWGAGATATTTAACCAAATCAGACACAAACAATATACATTTTCTTTAATGTTTTTTTTTTATCAATGAAGGCCAGAAGTTGCAAATGTAGCTTCAGGGTCACACAAGTGTAGGGACTTTGATATGAGTTTGAAAGTCATTCTTTTTTCGTATACTTGAAAAATATATCTACATAAGGCTCTCTGTGTAACTTCATTTTAATTTCTCATGATTGTTTTCTAAACCTGCACAAATTGCTTTCCACACAAACCTGGAAGTTCTCCACTTACCTTCACAGACATGAGGCTGTTGTGACAAGAGGAACCCTGAACGCCTCACAGCCACAGATGAGGAACCAGACCAGGAACATCCAGGCCAGTCTGGACTCACTGACCTCAGCCTCTCTTAGAATATCAGATAAAATTCAAAGGTCTCCTGAAGTGAGTTTTGTGTTTCTGCCAAACATCTTCACTTAATAGTTCACTAGATTTTTTTTAAAAATCTGGAACACAGTTTGAACATCTTAAAGCTTGATGTTAATCTCCAAAGACAGGAGCAAAAACTGCAGCCAATTTAAGTTTGTTTCAAACTGAAATGTTTCAAGTAAACAAACCAAACTAGTTACTGCACATTTTGTCTATCAAAAACAAATCTTTGTGTTCAAATCTTTAAATATATATATATAAAATCTTTATAGTTTATAATGTAAACAAATGTTTAAGGGTTTTAAAATAAACATAAACAGCGGCAGCTTTAAAGATGCTACAGTAAACAGCACAGACTAGTGGTCAAGTTCCAGAACTGCAAGCAAACAATAAGCTTATTTTTAAAAGAATGACACCACTAAAACATTAAGGAAAGGCAATAATGTTTTTATTTTATTTTATATGATGAACAAAGTACAGCTTGTGTGGAATTACTAATGTTAAAGGTCCTGTTGTTTTGTGACGACCTCTCATGTTGGCATGCATTTAGTGGAAAAAAGCCCCGACAGCTCATAATAAAACAAACTACACTCGTCAATGTAAAAACATGTAGCAATAAATCACTTTAGCCTGGCCATTCTGACAACAATGGGCAGGTAAACAAAGTACAACTTTAAATATTACAAGTATAAAATACTATGACTTCTTTTTTTTCTTTTATTTTTTTTTTTATTTATTTTTTTGCCCTTTAACCCTTTATTCACAACCAGATGATCCTTCAGGTCATTCTTGTTGGTAAATGAAGACAAAATATTTTTAATTAATAAACATCCACAGCAGTTTTCAGTTTATCGTGTGGCAATAATTGTTATTAATAAAGGTGTGGTGGTATTTCTGAATAAATCTTTCACATTGTTAAACGATCCCCAGGATGAAATTTCGAACGTAATTGTTTTTTATTAAAAATGTAAAACCAGAGCGGGTTGTTTCTATGTGCTGAGCTGAGAGCATAACTTTGATTGTTTGAGTAAAAACCAACGAAATTAGCATCAAGAGAGCACGTCCAGCACTCTGTAACTGCTGGGTGTGCTTACTATACAATCCAACACCGTTGCACCATAAAGACACATCATGTGCATAGTACGAGTTTTTTACAGCAGACATACAGCAGGTACGGATCAGATGGACACGCAAATACAGAAATGAGTACAAAAAAGTCAAGTCCCTTTTTTATACATTCAACACTGAAGTGCTGAACTAACAAGTRTGTGGAAGCATCAGCTGTTGTGTAATTATTCTGTAACAAGAACGTTTATCCAAGAGACACATTCAGTCAAGAAAAATGCAATAAAACAAGTGAAAAAARGAAGAAAAGTGGGTAAAAATGCTGCTTTACCTACAACAAACACATTGGTGAATAAAAACAATTAAAAGTGAAAACATTTGCCGAGTCACCGTCTGACCAAAGATGTTAACATTCTTTAAAGTTCTACACCCCAACGTGGAAATGTCCTGCATAGATTTGTGGAAAAGTCTGCATTGGCACTACGCTTCCATCTGAACTTTCTGTCAGCAGCCAGCTAATAGAAATGTCATCAGACTTGAACGAATAAAACTATTCACAACTTTAACTTGAGGTTCTGTTGTCTTCAGGCTCTGTTTTTGGTCTTAAAAAAAGGTGACTTTTTAAAGTGAATGGAAAACGTTACACAGCTTAAAATCTGTCCTTCAGTATAACGATATCTGGTTTGATTAATGGGGGTGGAACGGTACGCCCAAGTCACAGTCTGGTGTGTACTTAGAAGGGTCATAACTAAGTCCAAGAAAARAGAAACAAAACTTTTAATTTAAACAGACAATTATTCTCCCAGAAAGACAGAATAAGAAAGCACTCTTGCTATTGGGGAGGGTCTAAAAACAGCAGGTCGTGTAAAGCAAGGTACAATTTATCAACTGGTGACGTCACTATAAAATAAAAGTTTTTCTTTTCCTCTAAGTTTGAACAGTAAACAGTGTCGATGTGTCAAACAAAAGGTTTGCTAAACTCCAGAAAGGTTTGKTGTCTTGGGTTAAGAGACTTTGGCAAAATTACAAAAAAACTAAACAGAACAAAGGAATGTTTAATGTTTAGTAAATCTGACCAAAATAAGTTATTAAGTTAACGTTAGTGTGAGAAAAGGAAGCTTGTAAGGTAGAATATTTTCTGTCAGCAAGTGTGGATGTTTTGACACAGGAGTGACCACCTCTGATGCATGATTTTTTTTTTTGAGTCCATCCCAMAAGTTTGTACCGAACCATCGTGGTGCAAAGACACGAACCGTTACGTCCCTACTGATTAACAAAACTGATGTTGGACATAAAAAAATGAGGTTACAGATTTTTTTATTTTTTGCACACATTTTGTTTTTCTCAGGTCAAGTATGTTTTAATATTTATTTTACTGCAGCTTAGTGAATTTCAAACTGAGAGTAAACAGCTAAAAAAAATTGTTCACTGAAACAAAACTACTAAAAAAAACACTAGTTTTCCAAAAGCCATCATATGCATTAATAATAAATATGATTGTTTATAAAGCACTATATGAATTAATTTTATATTTTAAAGCTTTATATTAATTGCAGTACATGAGAAATGTGTGGGGGAAATGTGCCAAACAACAAATGTGAGAATCTAAACAGCTTTTAAAATATTTGCACTAAGAAAATAGATGCATGCATTTTGACTGAAGTAAACATGTTTTCACTTCCCTTTTTCATTTCCAGTAAACTATACAGACTCTTTTCTCTGACTTGTCGTCGAAACAGGGCCCTGCTACCGTCATGCAAACAGAATCAGATCATCGYCAAGCAGAGAGAAACATAAAAACAAACGTCCCTCGAACCTTCAGCACCTCTTGTGTCTGCGCCCTGTGTGCACCTGAAGGTCTCGTTAAGTACAAAACGAGGAGTAAAACAAGAGGCTAAACCAGGTTTAAACCTGAAGCTGTACAGTTGAAGCCTGAGACGAGGCATGCTTGGACTATAAATGCATGCAGGACAGGAAGAAGGAGAAAAAATCTGGTAGTATTTCCAGGGTTCACGTGTGACAGTCACAAACCCCACAGCCCCAAACTGAGTTGTACAAGAAGACGAAAAGAGGTTTGAAGTTAAGAAAAATGTTGCCAAAGTGCCTCAGATTACGTTCTTTACGTCCATCCTCGGAGATTCTGCCGGTAGTTGTAGGCTGACCGTTTTAAAGTGAGTAAAAGTGAGTAAAGGGGTGTTGTGCTGTGCAGTTACAGGTAGGAAGATTTCAGTGTGCATATTAAAGCGTCTGTATCAGGAAAGAGCCTCGTCCTCTCCTACATAGGGCAGGTCCATGCTCCTCACACCATCACCGCTCTCCTGTTTTCTGAGTGACAGCAACAGAGACACACCATTAATCAGAGCAATGTGGGTCTGAGACTTTCCTACRAAACCAAAACAAGAAAACATCATGTGCTTCAGGTTGTGTTGAGGAAATCAAGAATGCAGGCAGAGAATATTACAATCAAAACTCAAACATATCTCTCTGTTGGGAAGTTTGGTTTAATGTAAGAAAACAATCCTCTACTTTTTATTTGGCTTAGAGGTTGACCGATACATTGTTCAGCTGATATTTGTGGGGGTTTTTTTGTATTTACATCAGCACGTGTTCACCAATACAATAAAAACAAACAATCTTAACTTGAGATTATGTTCATATGTTTTTTTTTTTTGTTAATAAATGTTTCTTTTTTTGTTTAAATTGAGACTTATTCATTATCATTACGCCATTTTTATCATGTAAATGGAGGAAGAAAAAGCAATATCTGTTTCAAGAATCGGACCAAAAAATTCAGCAGCCCATATCGGGGATCAGTTGGACTGTCAAATATGCATACATCAAAATAAAAACCTTGTATCAGTCGACCTTTAATTTGGCGAATTTGTTTGTATTTAACAGACACAAAGAATAATAAAAAAAATTCAGCATCTTTACAGACAAACTTCACTTATTTAGAAAATGTATATAAATTTCACACATCACTCCAATCTTGTATTGTCTTCACTGGTTGCCTGTTTCTTTTAGAATTGTTTTTAAATGTCTAAATGGTTTGGCACCTTGTTATGTTACTGAGCTTTTACAGCCTCACATTCCAAGTAGATCTCTAAGATCTGTAAATGAAAAGCTTTTAGTTGTTCCCAGGTCTCGGCCAAAACCATTAAGTGCTGTTAAATATTTGTTACGTTAAAGCTCTAAGTCAGCATGAAAACTACAGAAGCCACTATGATCACTACAGACATATAAAGACAATCAACAGTGAACATTATCAGAAATGATTTGTCTAAAAACACCTAAAATTATACACATGAATATTTGGCCAAACTGAAGAACAGCTGCTCATAACGATGCTACAAGTTTTACTGTTTAACAAGGAATGAGCAGTCCTGATATTTTTCATTATTTTATGATTTTCTTGCAGCCTCACCTGATGTGTCTTTGCTGCAGGCCATGAAGAAAGGAGATAAGCGTTTTCAGTCTAATACCATTTTTCAGACAAAYACTGGCTGTGTACAGTGATACCATCTGAGATTAAAAGGCTCCAGCAACTCAAGGAAGTAATGTGCTGCAGAAAGCACACAGCTCACACACTCTGAATGTTGTTGTAAATAAAACTCACGTGAGGGCTTGCCCTGGAGCACACAAACTGCTGCGGTCTTCTTTCCGACCCCAATCAAAAGGATTCCCAAAAGAGCGCTTTCTCAACATAGTTCTTACCAGAATCTGAAACAAATAATTATTTAAACAGAAAAACACAAATTCAAAGATGAGACTAAAACATTCAGCTTTAAATATAAATTGTTCTTAACTTTAGATAGTTACGATTAGCAGAGAAAAACTTTTAAAAATGTATTTTCATCTGTCATCTAGCTTACATGAGCCACAAATCCATGTTTAATCTGTATATAAAGCATCTAAACAAACTGCAAAGTTGGTTAATTTGTCGGTTAAACTGCAGCTGTGAAGATGAGTAATGCTGCCTTTTTGACTTAAATTGGGGTATTATAGTTTCCAGACACATAGTTCAATTCTATACCACCATCAAGTAACTTTGTTACCTTCAGTTGTTGTGAAAATGCTGTATATATTGAAAATTAAATACACTTTGCATCATAGTCTATCTAAACACCTTGAAATTGGCCTCTGTCTCTTTAAGAACCTCCTACTGTTTCTGACACTCCCACTTCAGCATATTTTGACAACAATGCTCTGAGGGCTGCAAACTGAGCTCTAGGGAGGAGCTTTGTGTAAACAGGCAGTAACTTGTATCAGCAACTTCAAATGGTAAATAGCAACTTTCATTATAATATAATATAAAGCTAAAAAAGTCCTTTTTGCATAATAACCCCCTTTAAATCCAGTTCTAACTGCTGTATTTTTCACATTTATTTTGTGTTAAATAAAAGGAAACAAGCCAAGAAGACCATCATTTGGTCAACAYATTGGCCAAAGGATAAATCAATGTGATTTATGAACAGAAAAAAATACTACAACTTAAATTAGATTAAATATATACTTTAAATTGATGGAAGACATCGACTGTGATGCTTGTTTAGGTTTATGTGGCAGAAAAATAAAGTGAAAAACCCACCACTGTAGCTAAACTTGGGATATGTTTGACAGAATTCTCCACTTCTTCTTCAGTCACTTCGATAAGCTTGGAACAGTTGTCATCCTCAGGAGGAAGAGGCTCAGCACCTTGCTTCGTCACCCATGGGTGAGCCTGGACACAAAACCACTGATGCTAGCGGAAAAATCTTTTGATGTTTATGTAAGCTAATAATGAACCAGTTTATTAGGTGGTATTCATAAAATACGTTGTTTTTAAAACGTTTGAATGTCCTGCAGATTGAACAAACTGTATGCTGTAGGTTATATCTCAAAAGATTTTTGAAAATTAAAGATAAATTTTTGCATGATTTGAAGTTTGGGTTAAAATTTACCTTCATCTGTGGCACTGATAGTCTTGTCTCTGGATTCTTGTCCAACATTTTCAGCAACAAATCTTTGAGATCATCTGATACATCTGTACTGTTTACGCAAAAAAAAAGCAAAACAAAAAAACAAAGTGTTGATAAAATTAAGTAAATAAAAGCTAACAGTCTATTTGTCTTTAATTTAAGATGCAAAACATACTGTTCAGGTATCACCACAGGTTGAGTTTTAATTTTTTGATGAAGATTGAGAATACGTTCATCCATGAATGGACACTGTAAAGACAAGAAATGATTTGGCTTTTAGGGAAAATGTTTAGGAAAAACTAGAAAAGTGATTTATTTACCCACCACGCCAAAAACGAAGCAATGAAGAGTCACTCCCATGGCCCACACATCCAGAGCCTTTGAGGAAAACAAAATCCTTGTAAATATTATTTAAAACTATTCCTGTGACGCATGAATATAACAGTATGCAGGAAAAAAAAGGAATTATGGACAATAATATGAAGAAAAAAAAAACACAATTCCTCGCATTACTGCAAGTCATCTCCAGATGGCACTAGTTAGCTAATCATTGTTTCACCTTTCCAGAGAAATTCTTCCTGGTCTCAGAAAGTGTTTCAGGTGCGAGGAAAGCAGGCGTTCCCACTGTGCTGGTCAGCAGAGCGTCAGCGCCCTCAAACTGGTTACTGACTCCAAAGTCTGCGATTTTGATGTGTCCGTCCTCTGCTACCAACAGGTTGGAGGGTTTGACGTCCCGGTGGATGATCCTCTGGTAATGTACTGTTAAAAACAACCAGCTCACATTAGTGCTGCTTTTTTTACATTTTATTTTATTCTCTATCTAGAGTCTATAGTGTGGAAGCAATAAAATACRAAGTGAGCAGCAGTTTGAAGCTCTTAATCTCTTCTGGATTAAAACAAGCACATCTTTAAATACGACTTCTATGAAAAGTTCAGACTTTTTATGTGCTTGATGCAGAGTGCCCCCTCCTTTCCTCAGTACTAGTCTCCTAGACAACACTTGAGCAAAACCACTTCTCCTGTGCAGAAACRCATTAAGAGCCACAGAGATGATGTGAAATGAGCCTTGTGGGAGGCTGGAGTCAACAAGAGCTCAGATACAGGACTCAWGGAAGACGCAGGGGAGATTTAAACATCAGGGGCAGAAATTCAACACAGTGAGAGCTTAGAACTGTTTATTGAATGTGACACTTCTAATTCAAACTCACATCAATAGAGCTCTAACTATCACTGCAGCATGAGTGTTTTCAAACTAAATTGTTCTATAAGGAGGCAATTATTAAACTATAGTTAAAATTAAAATAAAAAAGCTTTATTGAATCTCCTACAATGACAGTGAAGCTAGATGAATAACAGATAATCTGAAAGCAAATATATAAAGTAACAATGGGGTTGTTCAGAACTTTCAGTCTTAGTGATCTTCTTGCTTTAGATTAGCACTAAATCTTGGTCTGAACTACTTCAATGTACACTGAAAATGWTTTTTCCTCAGATCCCCTTCTTAAGAGTTCTGGACTACTTTTATTCACATAYATTTATGTCAGGTCCACATGGCAAGGTCACTATGCAGCTTTTTGATCTGATTATTGTGACGGCTCTAAAGACAATCTGAGGAGACATTCCTGTCGTGTGCAGTGTGTTATGAGTGACCCAGTCGATCTCAAACCATGGATATTCAACATGTTGTCCCGATACCTCAGTGTGTGTGGTGTTCCCCGTGGACAAACAAACTCACAGCCTGTTGAAGCGAGGTGACGGAAACACGGAGGGGAATCCAAAAACCAATATTTACTCTGAACCAACGTTTGATCTCGTGAGGTCTCGCAGGACTTCCTGTGCAGCATCTGAATGTTTGTGTTTTTGTGGTGTGTTGTCTATTGTCGTGTGGCTGTACACCCCTGTAGGACCAAACCTGTTGTATCTATGATTATTTTTTTCAAGTGTCAAGTCTCTCAGTCTTTGAAAATCAACAAACAATTTTAAAATCCTGACGTGTGAACCAGGCATTGGTAGTTTGAACACAATCCGTTTTGAACCGAGCTGTAGGACCTCCACTGAACTGATGCGACCCCACACAAGAAGCAGAGACTAAAAAAAGTGCAGTCGAATTGAACATTAAACATAATAAACTTAATATTTAGAATTTATTTAATTTTGTTTTAATCAGATTTAATGAACTGTTTATCAAAATTTTCAGTTTAAACGGTAACTTTGTCAGGATTTTATTTATCAAAGTGGTTTACAGAACATTGGGCCTCGTGCAAAAACCGTTCATACGAACACATTTGTTCTTAAGTTGTGCGTACGAGTGATTTAGGAGAACTTGTGGCATTCACCAATTTTCTCRTAAGATTTTCTTCAGATAGGAACAAAATTCACGAGTGGTCCAGACCTGGGTAGCGGTGCTTCTGAATAAATGAAAACTATGTAACACAGTTGTTTACACTTAAATAGAAAATATTTGTCTAAAGAAAAACTGGAACAGGACTAGAGAAAGATAAATATGATTTAGATTTTTATTTCTGTGACTGTAAACGGCCCACGGGAGGCATGGCATTAACAGCACATTGCATTCCTCGGCTCCTTTAATTCCACAGCTGATGCTGCTGAAAATGACAGATTTTTTTCTGKATCTCTGAGAGCAGAACTTCAATCTCCAAACTCATGAAGTTCTTCTTTTTACTTTGTGATGTCATTTATGAATGAACACTTCCTGGTATGTGGGGCAGGAAAYGTAGCCTTATATGGTGTTTTTTGGGGTGGTAATTACGCTAATCTCCTCTCCGCATGTGCGAGCACCTGATACACATTCATCAGTTTACGCAGCTCATTTACACACTTTTCCTGAAGATAGAAGAGTTTGTTGAATCTGACTGACATGTTCGTACGAACCCTTCATGCGAACAAAAGTAAGAGAAATTTAGGATAAGAATACGAACATGTTCTCGCACGAGGCCCAGTGTGTGGGTGAGTTTCTCTTTGGTTTAATGTCTGTTCTGGTGACTTTACACCTTGTTGGATCTAGACCAGTGGTTCCCAAACTTTTTGACTTCTGACCCACAAAATGTCCATGGCAAAAACTTGTGACCCCAAATATTACTGGTC